CTACAGTTTTCAAAACATGCAATTCAAAAACTACTCAATAAGATTTGATTGATTTGTGGGGTTTAAAGTCCCAAAACCACCATATGATTATGAGAGACGCCGTAGTGGAGGGCTCCGGAAATTTTGACCACCTGGCGTTCTTTAACGTGCACCCAAATCAGAGTACACGGGCCTACAACATTTCCGCCTCCATCGGAAATGCAGCCGCCACAGCCGGGATTTGATCCCGCGACCTGCGGGTCAGCAGCCGAGTACCTTAGCCATTAGACCACCGTGGCGGGGCAAAACTACTCAATAAGAGTTTTGTTTTTCTTTTTAAGCTGCAAATCAAAGAAAATAATGCTTAAGTTCGAGCATCCTGCCTACCTGCAAAAACCCACTCTGCTGCCACATTTAGAGAGAAATCAAAGCAAGACAAGTAGAGCAGGGGCGTCAAATGTTTTTTGCCAAAGTCACCAGGACACTTCCAAAAAGTTGCCAATTTTAGCCAAAAGTTGCTAAATGATGATGATGATAATAATTGACTGCTTGGTCATTAGTTTTTGACTTGAAGCACATGAAGGGTTTATTTCTCATTTAAACAATATTTTTAATCAATTTATGTTGTGGCAAAGAAGTTGGACTGCGCTGCTACTTCCTGGCTATGCCACTGTGAACCGGTGCGCAGCTGTAGTCCACCTGTTTGCGGTGAACCATCAGCCGTTCAACTGAGCCGGTTCGGTCGTTTTGCCCATCTGCAGTTTAAACAGACTTTGAGTGCTCAGGATGGCGATATCACACACTAGAGATCGCAGCGTCGCAAGCAGCTTGATCCTGTATGCTTTGGTCTCATTTATTGAAGCTCATTCTGAGCAATCGTCTGTTCTCACAGTTTTAATTTTCTATGTCTGCTTTAGAACACACAACTTCAAATTTTAATTTCCCCAAAAACATTGCAAAGACTACAAAGAAACAGAATTGTCAATAGCACGACTGAGAAGACGCAAAATTTAGGGACTTTTTCCCTAAGTTAACACCACTGAAGCAGAGCTCGCTGTGTTGACAAATAGATGAGAATTTTGATGTATGCAACGAGCACACTTCCCAGTGTAGCCGTCCCATTCTTTTCAACGCACTTTGTCGAGCATAAGTGGCAGGATACGTCACAGGCAGATGCAAGCCTTTAACAATGGACTGCAACAGCAGGCTTCCTGCAGGTAACCTCGATTACACGCAGAGGATTGGGTGCATTTCGAATAGATCGCAAGACAAGAGAGAAGGTTTGTGGCCTGATTGAAACAGCCCACATTATGCTAGACAGAGAAATGAATGGAAGCATGTGAAAGGGTTTTAGGTTGCAAACACAAAATACAAATGTTTCAGTAGCTCCCTCAAGGCATAACAGCCACAGATGGTGCCAACAGCTGCGGCCTTATAACATAGTTTTGTGGACTGAATGGAAACAGCCATTACAGGCCTTCTTTGTTTGTTTCATTTCCAAGTAAGAATTATACGCCGTCTTATATGGAAATAAAAATAAATCAACTTTGAGAACTTCGTCACAAACGGAGCATCAAAAATGACTGCAGAATAAATGCATTAGAGATGCACTGGTGTTAGTGTTTCCAGCTGCGATGATCAAGCAGCAGTCAACAATAAGGTAGACTTTCTCCAACAGTGTTGCAGTTATGGCTCAATCTTAGTTTACTGACATAGACTGCTTTGTACAGCGATTTATGGGTGCAATACAGTAGCAAAATTCCCCGATCAGTACAGAATTATGTAGGCTACAAGGAAACAACCTTTAAAATCCATTGATGAAGCCAATGTAAGTCACAAGAGTTAGCATGCCGTTGCCGCCTTTGTTCGACATCTTTCAACCTTAACGCCAGTTGTGCAGCTAGCTTTTAAAAAGGCGCACCACAACAGCGTTGATCTTAATACATCATCGAGTAAGACGCTTAAGGTTGGAGCCAACAAGTTCACACAACCCAGAAATTTGTGAACCACATTTCATCTTCTGCACTGACGAAAAAAAGCAACATGGATGTCTCTTTTTGTCAATACAGTATGCACATTGAGAGAATGAAAAGAAAATCTCTAGTGTCTCACGTTTACATTTTTTTAAATCTTGTTTCCACTTAGACCGCATTTAAAACCTTTCTCGCTCACAAGCTGCACGCACCTATTTGCACTGTAGCAACAAATACTGGTCTGTATAACGAAGTGTTCTTGAATATTTTTACGAGTTCGTTTTGGGCGAGTGCCACCAGTATCTAATCAAGATGCAGCATATCAAGCCCACAGGAAGTTTGCAAACGTTTTGGCAAAACATCACGGAATAAACGTTTCCACAGTAACACAGCAGGGAACAGAATAAAAGAAAAAAAAAAAACGTCGCGATCGGAGCAATGGAAATCCGGTACTTCGACGATTGCGACGGAAGAGCATACTAAATCGAGTCCACGCAGCCGCTATCGTCCTTGGGTGTTCTGACAAAGAAAAAAGAAATCATGCGTACCAGTTTTCGACGCCAAGGCGGCGATGAGCACCCAAACGGAAAGTCCGCGAAGAAATCGTTTTCTGTTCCTCTTTTGTTCGATATGTCTTTTTTTTCTCTCACCGCTGAGCCGACACCGCGATACTCGATCAAAACAAATTTTGCGAAACACCACGCCCCAGGATAAAAATTAAAAAGGAAGGAAGCAGCAACGACGTTGTAAAGTTTCTAAGCTCAGTTGAGTAAAAGACATAGTTGGGCGCACTATAGGCGCCAGAAATCAGATTTTTTACAACGGCGCACCTGTAAGCTTGCTCAAAAGCGGAAGGTGATCACATTAGTTTAAAATTTTGCGACGGAATGGATCCAATCGAGGCAGGTGACGTACGGTGTACGCTAATAGAAGTTGACTATCAAGAGGCAATCGACGACAGCGTAGACTTTCACAACAACAAACAGTTTAGCTATTTGGCAGACTGGGCGTGTTAACACGGACCCAAGTGAGAACACCCAGACACAACAAACGCCGTGGTGTCTCGCGACGTTTGCGGTGCCTTGACTTGAGTCCGTGTTCACACGTCCACAGTTTTAGCCTAAACGTGCAGTGCGAGAAGTGCGTCGAGTAATTTGAGAGCCCACAGCTTCGGCGAGAGAAACTGAAACGGTCCCGAGTTGACGTTGAGTCATGCCGCGGACACGACGCGAGGTGCGCAACACGGGCGCGACTCGCTCGCGATTACGGGACAGGCGTCGTTCATTGATCGCGCGAGTTGTGCGTGCCGCTCGCGACTTTCTCCGACCGAGCGGGACAAACGCGAACGCGCGAAATCGCGAAAAAATGCGTAAAAACTAGGCCTCACCTGTCACACGAACACCGATCGCATGCCTTCGCTCCAACCCGATTCCCGTCGTGCGTTGCGCTCTGGCGGCTTTTCCAGCCACCACCTGCTACGACACGTGACACAACAAAAACCCGCAGCGCGACTTTTTGAAGCTCGTTTCTTGGATCGTCTCGCGCGCCGCTCCGGACCTTGCCTAGGACGCTGAGCGGTTTTCTTTGGGATGTGCGCTATGGTTGTTACGGTGACTTCGTAGGATTCGCTCGCAGGATTTCAAGCTGGACGGTTGTGCCCTCGCGATCTCCGACTTCAGCGTAGCTCCCGCCGACTGGTTCGCCCTCCGCGGTCTCCTGACGCCGTGTAGCTCTCGCATTGTGGCACCCCGCCCTTGGACTGCTTCGACCGGATCCCCACTTTCCTATCTCCTTCTTTTTCCTCTCGTTGGCTGTCTTCTTCTGCTTCTACTTTCCTTCTATCCTTTTTATCCCTCCTTCAGCCCACCCCTATAAGGCACTGCGCCGTGTCGCCTGAAGGCAGACAGAAATTAGGTGCCTTTTTCCTCTTCATTGTAACCACTACCACCACCACCACTTCGTAGTTGACATTAGCGCGAATTTCCGGGACCAACTTGTGATGCGGTCAGCTCGTAGCTCTCGAAACTAGTGCAGTCAGAGAACGTGTGCGGTCTCGTCAATCTGGGTCGATCGAGCTCGGCCGGGGTTCTGAACGCGCGTTAGTCACGCTAGTGTTTTCCAGGCAGACTTGGAGCGATGAGTCAGGAGCACAAAAAAAAGAAAGGCATTAAAGCGTCACTTTCTAGTATACATTAAGCCTACAGAAATGCAGTTTTAGGAACAAAAACGAATACGAGATCGAAGTACCTCGCGTAAATGTATTCGAAGAACGTTCAACTTCCCAACCCCTCAGAAACACGCGCGAACATGCATGCGCGAAAACATGCCTCCCTAAAAACATATCTCGCTGCACCCACGCACAAATTACGTAAACCTCAAACGGGGACAACGTAAATGGTGAAAGACATCATGACTACAGCCAACAATCGGCGTTTTTTTATTATTATTATTGTCGTTGTTTCTCTCCCCCTAGCGGGATGTGCAATGCTACTATATGCAGCGCCAGAAAGTGCTGCCATTGCTGCCCTCTCGGGGGTTGTGTACTAAGCGTGAGCGCTTTTCTCTGCTCTCGACAGACGGCAGCACCATCTTGTAAGGCTTGCAACACGCAAAACGTGTGTAAGTTCCTGTAGTGGCAGCGCGACTCTTCAAAACAGTTCTAGTTCTCACGCCGCTTGTTTCGTAGACGCGACTAGCGGCGCTCACGCGTGCAGCGTTTCTTGAGGACCGCCCCCATCCAGTGCAACAACACTGCTATAGTGCCTAGAATAGTCTGATTCGGGGCAATCACGCAACGTTGTTCCGCAAAGTGATATGCTGGATATCTCAGAATATGGGGAGAATTCCTCTCAAGCGCGCTAATAGTACCTCTGATCCGTCAAACAAGAAAGCGAAGAGAACAAACTACGTCGAGCACCAAGATAAGGTCAGTAACAGCGCTGTTGTTTTTCTACAAGCCCAGCAGATGCATACCTATCACTTTCAGCACTTCAAACAGCATTATGATTTGATAATACCTAATTCGGTTATTTCTTACGTTATTCAGGACACTGTGCCAACCAAGAAGACCGACGCAAGCATGACTGAACCAGCCAAAATATTGAGGGAAATGTTGAACGCGTACGAAGAGCAGATACAGCGTGATGGGGCATGCCTCACCCAATTTCAAGAGACGCTAGACAGCTGTGTAAGAGCCATTTTGCCTGTTTCACTCAATCTCGATACAACACACAGGTGACATGGGTCTAGCGTTTAAATACTACTTTCGCAGCTTATCCATGTCACATGCGTCCATGTCAGATCTAGACTCGTATTTCGAAAGGGGCTACGGCGTCTCTCATTAGCATATCGTGGTTTTGGGACGTAAAACCCCAGATATTATTATGCTATCACTAGCGAAAGTATCAACTCGGTCGCGAACTCGCTCCTTGGTAACGGCGTCCCAATTTCGATGGGGACGAAACGCAAAGAACGTGCAAAAACATGCCGAGAGCGGCGTGCCGCATGAACATATCGTGGTTATAGCGCGTAAAACTCGGCAATTCACTCGCGTCCCACGGAGCGTTAACAATAACAGCTATGAACAAAGATTTATACGAGTATATTATTCAAACCGTATGTTGCATCATGCCACATATACGAAACCTTGTGAAAATGAAAGGGGGGGGGGGGGGTGGATCTTTTTTTGGCTAACGCATGTGTGTGCATGTAATAAAGTTTAATTACTTGACCATTTGTTCTTACGACGTGTCTCCTCAATAGGTTTATCAAGAAGCCGAAACCTTCTTGTGGACTGGGATAAATTACGTGGAAGAAAAGAGGAATGCGGCGTCAAAGATAGTGTCAGAAATCAACGGAGCTCTTCAACGCATCGCAGAGATCGACGAGCATCGAGAGATAGATAATCGAAAAGACGATGACAGCAGTCTGCCAGACACTCAGTTGCATGAATAAATAGTTTAATGGAAGCTGGCCTCTTTGTTGTGCGCTCTAGAGGTCAGTGTCGTCATGCGCAATTGGAATTTTCTACACGAGAATAAATCACTTTTCTTATTAAACTGTGACTCAAAACGCACCTATGACCCGTATAATTCCAACGCGCTGTCTTGGTCAAGATCCTTGAGGCTAAAAAGTATTTTCAATAACGCTGCCTAATCTAGTTTTCGCGTTAGTTATTGCTAGGCATGGTACGTTATTATGCGGCAATGACTTATAGTGACTTGTCTACTTGGATAATGAGGTCCCTAGAAATATTCAACTCGATAAGGTGTCGAACATTTATATTTTAGGACGGCATTTTATGTCATAAAGATGCTCCAAATCTAGAAAATAAAATTTAAGACAGGTAGCACCCCCTATATCATCATCATCATCATCATCAGCCTGACTACGTTCACTGCAGGACAAAGGCCTCTCCCATGTTCCGCCAGTTAACCCGGTCCTGTGCTTGCTGCTGCCAATTTATACTCGCAAACTTCTTAATCTCGTCTGCCCACCTAACCTTCTGTCTCCCCCACACCCGCTTCCCTTCTCTGGGAATCCAGTTAGTTACCCTTAATGACCAGCGGTTATCCTGTCTACGCGCTACATGCCCGGCCCATGTCCATTTCCTCTTCTTTATTTCAACTATGATATCCTTAACCCCCGTTTGTCCCCTAATCCACTCTGCTCTCTTCTTGTCTCTTAAGGTTACACCTACCATTTTTCTTTCCATTGCTCGCTGCGTCATCCTCAATTTAAGCTGAACCCTCTTTGTAAGTCTCCAGGTTTCTGCTCCATGGCTAAGTACCGGCAAGATACAGCTGTTATATACCTTCCTCTTGAGGGATAGTGGCAATCTACCTGTCATAATTTGAGAGTGCTTGCCGAATGTACTCCACCCCATTCTTATTCTTCTAGTTACTTCAATCTCGTGGTTAGGCTCTGCGGTTATTACCTGCCCTAAGTAGACATAGTCTTTTACAACTTCAAGTGCACTATTACCTATCTCGAAGCGCTCCTCCTTTCCGAGGTTGTTGTACATTACTTTCGTTTTCTGCAGATTAATTTTAAGACCCAGCTTTCTACTTTCCTTGTCTAACTCCGTAATCATGAGTTGCAATTCGTCCCCTGAGTTACTCAGCAATGCAATGTCATCGGCGAAGCACAGGTTACTAAGGTATTCTCCATTAACTCTTACCCTAACTGTTCCCATTCTAGGCTTCTGAAAACCTCCTGTAAGCACGCGGTAAATAGCATTGGGGAGATTGTGTCCCCCTGCCTTACACCCTTCTTGATTGGTATTCTGTTGCTTTCTTTATGAAGCACTATGGTAGCAGTTGATCCCCTGTAGATTTCTTCCAGAATGTTTATATATACTTCATCTACGCCCTGATTCCGCAGTGTCTGCATGACGGCTGATATTTCTACTGAATCAAACGTCTACTCACAATCTATGAAGGCTATGTATAGTGGTTGGTTATACTCTGAGCATTTCTCTATTACCTGATTGATAGTATGAATGTGGTCAATTGTTGAGTAGCCTGTTCGAAATCCTGCTTGTTCCTTTGGTTGATTGAATTCTAATGTTTTCTTTACTCTGTTACCGATTACCTTTGTAAATAGCTTGTATACTACAGAGAGCAAGCGGATCGGCCTGTAATTCTTCAAGTCTTTGTCGTTTCCTTTCTTATGTATTAAGATGATGTTAGCATTCTTCCAAGACTCTGGTACCCTTCCCGTCAGGAGACACCTCGTAAACAGGGTGGCTAGTTTTTCTAACACAATCCGTCCTCCATCTTTCAGGAGGTCTGATGTTACCTGATCCTCACCAGCAGCTTTGTCTCTTTGCATGCTCTCCAAAGCTTTTCTGACTTCTTCTATCATTACCGGTGGGGTGTCATCTGGGTTACTGCTAGTTCTTTTAGTATTAAGGTCGTGGTTGTCTCGGCTACTGTACAGATCTCTGTGAAACTCCTCCGCTATTTTAACTATCCTATCCATATTGGTAGTTATTTTGCCTTCTTTGTCCCTTAGTGCATACATCCGACTTTTGCCTATCCCAAGTTTCCTCTTCACTGCTTTGACGCTTCCTCCGTTTTTCAGAGCGTGTTCAATTCTCTCCATGTTATACCTTCTTACATCGCATACTTTACGCCTCTTAATCATCTTTGAAAGCTCTGCCAGTTCTATTTTGTCTGTTGCACTTGACACTTTCATGCTTTGACGCTTCTTAATTAGGTTCTTCGTTTCCTGGGAAAGCTTGCCAGTGTCCCCTCTAACTACCCTGCCTCCAACTTCCACTGCACACTCCGTAATGATACTAATTAGATTATCATTCATTGTATCTACGCTAAGGTTGGTTTTCACTCTAAGAGCCGAGCACCTGTTCTGCAGCGGCACTCTGAATTCCCGTACTTTCCCTCTCAGTGCTAGCTCTTTGATTGGCTTCTTCGGTATCAGTTTCTGTCGTTCCTTCTTCAAGTATAGGCGAATTCGAGACCGTACCATTCTATGGTCACTGCATCGTACCTTGCCAACCACTTCCACATCCTGCACGATTCCTGGGTGTGCAGTCATTATAAAGTCTATTTTGTTCTTATTTTCGCCATTAGGGCTCCTCCATGTCCACTTGCGGTTTTCTCGTTTTCGGTAGAAAGTATTCAAAATCCGCAAATTATTGCGTTCTGCGAATTCTACTAGTAGCTCTCCTCTGGCGTTTCTAGTGCCGATGCCATAATCTCCTACTGCCTGATCTCCAGCCTGCTTCTTCTCTACCTTTGCATTAAAGTCGCCCATCACTATAGTATACTGTGTTTTTACCTTACTCATTGCCGATTTCACGTCTTCATAGAAGCTTTCAACTGAGGAGTCATCATGGCTGGACGTAGGCGCGTAAGCCTGTACCACCTTCACCTTGTATCTTTTATTCAGTTTAATTACAATACCTACCACTCTTTCATTATTGCTATAGTATTCCTCTATGTTGCCAGCTATGTTTCTGTGAATTAGGAACCCCACTTTCAGTTCTCTTTTGTCAGCCAAGCCCCGATAGCAAAAGACGTGCCCATTATGTAGCACCGTATAGGCCTCATCTGTCCTCCTAACCTCACTGAGCCCTATTATATCCCATTTAACACCCCCTAGCTCCTCGAATAGTACAGCTAGACTTCCCTCACTAGATAAGGTTCTAGCGTTAAACGTTGCCAAGTTCAGGTTCCAAAGGCGGCCTGTAGTCCAGAGATTCTTAGCACCCTCTGCTGCGTTGCAGATCTGACCGCCGCCATGGTCAGTTGCTTCGCAGCTGCTGGGAACTGAGGGCCGTGAGTTATTTGACGTATGCATGTAGGAGATAGTGGCCAGATACTGCACCAGGGTGGCCAATCCTTCTCTGGTGAGGGAGTGCGCTCCCGGCGGTGGTTACCGGTGAAGCACCTCAGGCCTTTTAATGCAGTTCCATCAACACGCGGATTTTTTTTTTTTTTCCTGTTGGGAACTGCGCGGCACCGGGATTTGAACCACGGACCTCTTGCATGCGAGGCGGATGCTCTAACCACTATGCCATCGCCGCACTCGGATTGTTATGTTCTAAATGTAGGTTTCAGCGGTGTATCAGTCAAGTTTGTGGTTGTTTTTATAAAAATGTTTTAATGAAATGAGATTTCTGCTGATTACCCCCTTAATTAAGGGTCTAGAGAGTACGGAGTTGGGCCTCCGATTAGCCTATGGGGTGCTGTTTATTGATATATTAAGCGGACAAAATTTAAATTCGTTTGTGAGGTGATGTTATCAATTTTTAGTGATTATCCTAAACCCCCTATATATCTGGCATAAACACCAGACGCAACAGATTCAATTTTTATTTATAGCATCGTCTCCTGCGCGGCGTAGAGTTACTGTATATGCGACTTAAAGGTAGCATATACAGAAACTTCAGCGCGGCGCAGCAGCCAGCCCCACTCAGAAATGGCTCCTGCGCCGCACGAATTGATTGATATGTGGGGTTTAACGTCCCAAAACCACCATTTGATTATGAGAGACGCCGTAGTCCGGAATTTCGACCACCTGGGGTTCTTTAACGTGCGCCCAAATCTGAGCACACGGGCCTACAACATTTCCGCCACCATCGGAAATGCAGCCGCCGAAGCCGGGATTCGAACCTTAGCCGAGTACCTTAGCCACTAGACCACCGCGGCGGGGCGCGGATTATTGTTGTTGGACGTACTGCATTTTCTAGATTGCAATGCCAAGCGTGGTGTTGTCAAAGGTGAAAGTGTCCTTGCTGTCGAGTTTCACTTGTCGCGAAGGGCAAGGTCGACTATCAAATAAATGCTTTTGCACAGATCACGTGTGACTGACTGAACGCACATGCGTAAAACCACGGTGAGTCTGCGAAGTGTTTTTACGATGAATAGATACAACTTCACTGTAGTGTTCTTACGAAGCCTGTGATCTCCGAAGGCCAAAGCTACTGGATTGCAGGCTGTTTTGTCAAGTGCGAACACGTACGGCCATTCTCATCTGTTGTTACGTGAATGCTCCCGTATTTTCACAGGCTGTGCGTGTTATTCAGCAAGACACACAAGCTGCTCTGTAGTTAGATGGGCTAACGCTGTCGGCACTTACCCTGGTGCATCGTTTATCAAGTGCTCATCGCCTAGAACGTTGCGGTGGCACGTCAGTATTTTCAAGCGGCCTGCCGGTTACCTCGTCAGGGGATGATACACTGAGCGACATAAAAAAAAAATGCTTTACGTTGCAGTGCGCCTTTCTGTCATCAAAACTTAGATGAAGCGTGGAAATCAACATTCCTGACGCGTGTGCCGGAAAAACCAATGCAGCCAGCTGAATTTGACTTGTTCGTGTCCTTATGCGTCTCGCCGATTAAGAGCATTAATTCGCAAACCACTTTATCATAACAAATATAGCCAATTCTGCAAGAGTCATGAAACATTGAATAATAAAGGGCCTGTGAACAGGACCACCACCAGCAATAACTCAGGCTGATGAGAGGCCGATGAGCTGACGCAAATGTTAAAACAATACATGCGCGAACCAAAAAAAAAGAAAAGGTAACAAAGACAGCAAGAGGATCGAACCACTCACCATATTGCGCCGCTCTAACCAACTAAGCCACAGCTGTCATTTGGTTCGGAACGATTAACAAGCCAGTTTTGTATTGTTGTCACGCTGGACCTAACTCACATTTTTATTTTCGCGTTTGGACGTAACTTTTACTGCTTCTATCGTTACGTCAAGACGTACCGCTAAACACTCCGACTATTCAAATGAAGCGCCTAACCAGAAAAGTTCGTGATGTCACTTTTGTGCGGCGCAGCAGCCGTTTCTGTGTGGGAGTTTCTGCCTTTATTTATTGCATTAAACACACTAATACGTTAATGTATCACTTTGGAGTTGATTGGCATTGTCATTTGGCGCTTTCTTTTCGGAGGCCATGTATCACGACGCATTCACTTTTTTCTCCAGTAGGTGACGCGTCAATCGTATTTAATTTCAGCAACGCGACTTTTGAAACGCTTCGGTTTGTTCCACCGTTTCTCTCAAAGACCTAATTTGTTCCAGCTCGCGCGAAATTATCCGACGCTGATGCGAAGCGCATACTTTAAATTTCCGACAACCATAACGACGCGTAATGTACCAGACGACAGCTTGTTGTTGCTTGGGCGCCATTGGCAGGGAAAGGACAGCTCCGATACATTCGTCGTTTCGAGAGACAGCAAAGTTTACTGCAACTGTTCAGTTCACTCGCTAACTCAACGCCAACGTACGCTTCTAAAATGAGTATGAATTCTGAGAGCGGCCACGACGAACCCCAGCAAGAGGAGATGCAGGAGGCGGGCCTTTCCTACGATGCTGCTGAAACAATGGATTCAATTGCTCAGGTACCGTGAGTCGACGAGCCTTAAAGAACAGCGTTCCATTCGTGTTTAAATCGAGAGTTTGACGGAAACCCGTCTGGTCAAGATAAAACACAATGAGTGGAAAGAAACACACTAAAATAAAAGATTAAAAGAAATAACGTTTCATGGAAGCTAATCTTTTATTTGGTCGTGGTGTACTTCATTTCCTTCATCAACGCCATTCATGTTTCTTTATCGCTTTTTTTCCATGTAGGGCCCCAACGCCCGTCATGAGGCTGGCAGAAACAACGAGCCAAGAGACACCCAGCAGATTGTCTGTGCAGAAGTCAAACAAATTTGGACGGAATTAAAAGAGCAGTCTGAGGTGGCGGACCTCTACATATCCACCATACAGGAAACTGTTGGGACCAAGGTCTGGATAGCGCCACAAACGGCGTCATTCATTAAGTAGCTTTCAACCCCCCCCCCCCCCCCCCCCACCAAAAAAAAAAAACATAGCTTCGCATATAGTGATATACATATAGCTTCAAATATGGAGTGTCCAAATTAACGTAGCAGGCCCTATTTGAAAAGCTCTAGCTCCTGCTTGAGACGGAGCGCGACTCAAAGCGAGCACCGCAAAGGGCCTTGGGTCCCCTATTCGAAAACCTACCATTTTTTTTTTTTTGCAACTACAACCGACTGTATATTACTAACAACCATTTCCGTGCAATATAACAACTGCTCGCCGAGGAGTCAGTTGCCATGCGAGCCGCACATAATTGAGCAGCTGCACCTTTCAGCTGCTTTTTTTTTTCTAGGCATGCATGTACACAGGTGGAATGAAACATGCGCAAATGTGTATGTCCTTTGAAATTTTGACCACTTGAAAAATACCTGATTCATTTTGTCAATGAGCGTATAGTTTAGCTTCCACATGTTCCCTACCCCACCATCACCGCGGCAGTGGGGAACCTGCAGCCCTGATTCACGTATAACGCATGATATGCATATGCACCTATTAGTTACTGGAACACTTTTCAGACGCATTGACATTTATCCCGTTTTTTTTTTTTGCCTCTTCAACAAGATGGCAGAGGCTGTGGAGGAATGCGTCAACACTGCAAGAAGATGTCTCGAGGAAAAAAGGAAATTGGCCTGGCAAGCCGTGTCGGAGATCGACGCTGCCCTCAAAAGAATTTCAGAAACCGACAAGATGTTAGATGCAGTCAAAGCGGCGATGGAGTCAACATGGAACACGCTGTTTTAGTTGGGGAAACGACGTGAAAGATGTTTGTGCAATAAAGTAATCGAAACAATAAGAAATTGGTTCTCCCTGATAATGGGCGGTGCGACCAGGGGAGGGTGCAGTACTCCCCTCACTTCCGAATCTTCGCTTGCCCCCCCCCCACCCCTCCCTCCTACCATGGCATAAGTAACCAAAGCAACCCGCCTGCCAAAAGCACACAAGTGCTGAATGGGGAGAAAGAGTAGCATATATGCGTGCGCAGGATCAGGAGGGGAGGGAGCGAAGGTTGTATAAACTATTCTTACACCGTGTGTCAAAGTATAGGGTGGACTTTGTGCCCCCTATAAGGTGACATAGGGGTGGGTGTGCCCTTCCACCCCCTCTCCCATACGCATGCCTATACGGAGGGTAGTGTACGTTGGCCAATTCTGTATGGCACTTCACTGAATACAGGGCAGTGGAGGCCACAAGTGCTATCAGGTCGGCCAATCAGCAGCGAGCGCTACGAGTGTGTTTCAGAGACGGTTGATCGCACAATGTCGCCGACCCATTCCGCGGACGACGTCTTTAAGGGGTTACAAAAAAAAAAAAACGATGGAATAAAAATTATGTCCCGAAGAGGAAACCAAACCTCCAACAGATTACCATGGACGCAATAAAACGCTTATTAAAGCTAAGAAAAAGCATATATTCGTCTTATGACGTTTGACGGCTAATTAATTCCGGACAGATATTGCTCCACGCGTTTCTTTGTGCTACTGGTTTACTCTAAGAAGCCTCAGTCTTCGTAAAGTTTATGAGACACACAATCACTTTCGCAGGAAACAGCATATCTCATTATCGATCGTTTGCCGAACAAAAGAGCTTTATCCGTAATCGGCGACCAAATGCAGAGACTATGTTTGTGAGGCAGCGTTCGTAATAACTGCCGGCCGGCTTCACATCTGGAGCTAACAACTTGCAGTAGTGCGCGGAAAGGGAAGTTTATAAGTGCAGCGCCAAGTATTTTCTCAGGCGTCCTTTTTTTCATTCAGAGGTCTCTACGAACCGGCCGGCGTCTGCTGTCTGACGTTAAATGAGAGAGCATATGTTGTTGGGCCATAGCCTAAAGCACTGACCAGACCCATCCATTGCAGCGCGAAAACGCGACACCGCAAAACTGCGCGCCCACTCTCTCCATAGGGAGAGGGCGCCGCGAGCTGAACACATGCGTGCGGTTGAACAAGAGCGGCAGTTTAGATTGGATGCGCTTCTTGCCAAGGGGCGCTGCAACGTGGCAGCGCTGCACTTCGTAGTTTACTAACATAGAAGGGTAGCTAGTACAAGAGCTGGTACCCGCATTAGCACACACAGGAATCACAACGTAAGAGAGCGATCGCGTTCTTCCGTACGAAACCCCCGCGCAATTCCTCTTCCTCGTGTAGCGCACAGTGCGCTCTACGCTATGATCTGCTCCTCTTCACGGCATCTGCTGGGGTGCCTTGCACGGAAGGGCTTTAGGGTGCTTTAATGCACGCATCGAGGTACACTATTTGTAACAAACTGTTCGCGCCATCTAGATCAACGACCAAATACAACGTGAAGCACAGTTTTCACAACATCAAGCCTTTTTTGTCTTTTTACATAATTCTCGCACAGTGCGTTAGTCAATCAGGTAGCGTCATCATAGAACAGCGCACTCGTTTTTTCCGTCTCTCCAGTGCTTTTCTCATTTACAATGTTCAAGAAAGGATTTTGCAAACCGTTCTAAAACGTACCTTCAGTGCGCAGTACTACTCTGAAGACTCCGTGAAGGCAAGAAAACCTCGAACATTACCCCTCTCACTTGCCGGTTTCTACACGTCTCTACACCGCTCGGCCACAGAACTGCGTTTGCTTGCTTGCCATTCTTTAGATCTGGCTCCTACCCACTATGAGAGATTGGCAATCGGTCAAGAAGCCTGCGGTTAAAGTAGATGAGAGATTGGCGATCGGTCAAGAAGCCCGCGGTTAATGTAGAGTAGAGTAAAACCTTGAACTGTGACGCACGCCCAAATGCAAATTCACTGCGTTCTTCAGCGTTTTTTTTTTTTTTTTTTTTTTTGTCAGAAGTGCCACATCTGTTGTGGACAACCTTGTAAATGCACGTGACCGCAGCAAACGCAGCGCGTGGTTACTCGTGGTTGCAGAGCCGTGAAGGCTACTCCGGCTACGCTATTAGCTACGTTGAAAACGTTGTCTCACATCTCGCAAGGACCGTTTGCAGCTGCAGCGACCGCAGAGCTTCAACCAAGACAAAGAGTAATCGCGAGCCGGTGAGTATACACAAGTTTCGGTTTATGCTGCGTTTGCAATATTTGTGAAGCTTGCAGTGCAGTAATAGCTTTCGGTGGCAGGCACTCCTACTGTGACATCTTCCGTACATCGGTGTGTTTTGTGTGGTGCGCTCACAATGAGAATGTCGGTTCCTGCAAGTAGCGACGCTCCTCATGGATTCACGACGTACGCGTTGTCGGAGGTTGTAGTTTGACACCACGTGACAGGAGTGTATGTTTCATGACATCTTTTCTACGTTCTTCAGTCATGCCCACGCTTAGCACGCGCAGCAGGCCGGTTGAACCAGGCAGTGTAATAGCGCAATATCATGCTGCGCCAGCGGAATGCTTAGTGACCCTTTTTAAGGTAGCGGCATACATGGTCTGATGTGCCTATTCGTAACACCTGCTAGCTTGGTTTCGTATGTTTGGCCTCACAGGCCTCCGGAGAGCGTACTGTGTAAGCATCCGCGTCAGTTTAAAGCACGATGCATGATTTGACCCGACTCGGAATGTCATCCTCTGCAGTGCGTGAAATGTGAAAATACACGCAAGTATACCATAGTTCTCGGCTGCCGACTCGAAGGTCTTGGGTTCGATGCCGACCGTGGTGGTCGCCTTTCGGTGGAAGCGAAATGATAGAGGCAAGGGGAGGTCGTGTACTATGCGATGTCAGTGAAGTTTAAAGAACATCTGATGGTCAAAATTTTCGAGGTCCGCCCCTACAGCGTCCCTCATAATCATATTGTGGTTTTAGGTCGTAAAACCCCAGGTATTATTATCTAAAATACACACACGTAACTCTTGTCTGATGGAGTATATTCCACATTACTTTTGCATTGTGGCCTTCAGGTCACCATAGTCTAAGGCTGTTCTACTGGTAAAATTGCCATACCATGACGGTTTCAATGCTCGTAGTGACATTCGCTTTTGTTTGCTTTTATTTTTGTGCTGACCTTATGAAGGCTAGGTCGACTTAACGTTAATGCACCTTGTGCAATGCTTTGTGTTTGGCAAGTCATTAATGCTGAACCTGCTCTTCAACTTACTCTGTTCAGGTCGATGGCATCAGGTGATCACGCTCCCTGCAAGTCCCAGCTGCGTTGTTCTGTCATTGAAAGTGACAGCCCTCGTCATCTAAAGCAGTGTAATGGCATTTCAAGTTCACAGCTTATAGCTGCTCATGCTCAGCCTAGTTGCAGCACCACTGCTGCACACGATGCTCCAGAACTTTTGTGTCATTCATCTGCAGGACACAGTTTTGCAGTCAGTACCGATACCTCGTGTAGAACTCCTGAACAGCAGAAATGGTGTCCGTCTGGTACTACACATAGCCACAGAGACAGTACGCCGTGTTCGAGGCGGTTAGCAACACAGCGTTCACACTTAACCCGAAGATGCTTTACGCCACAGCCTGTTCACGACATGTCTATCTCTGAGAGCAGCTCCGATTCCTCGTATTCAGATGATTATGCCGAACTGAGGCGCAGGTGGTGTTCCCAGGAAGATCTCAGCGTTAAGAGCCCCCTGGAATCATCTGACTCGCAACTGCCGCTGGACAATTATGACGGCACTACATGCTCTACTCCGCTGCAGCACACTCCAGTGTCTGTGTGGCAGCTTCAGTCAAGCCAACCCTCCATTTCCCCGATTTTTCTGGATTCTCCTGGACCCAGATTGCCATACTATGACCCCCATGTACCACCGCCGCCATTGGCAATGCAGTCTCCAGGAACAGAACCAAAGATGCCATTCTACAACCCGCATATACCACCTCCGTCATTGTCAGCATCTTCTTCTTCGTCATCTCTTAGAGACAGCAGTGGAGCAGTGCTCTCATCACAGACTTCACCACGGCCATCGAGACAAGACAGCTTTGGAGCAGTGCTGTCGTCGTCACAGGCTCTACCCTTGTCATCAGCACAAGGCAGCTTTGGAGCTGTGCAGACGCCATCGCAAACTTCACCCTTATCATCAACTGGAGGCACTAGTAGAACAATGCCCTCATTATTACAGACTTCACCCTTGTCATCTACTTGGGACAGCGGAGCAGCAATGGAGCCGGCTCAGGTGAAGCGTGTTACTGATGAAGAGTGGCCATTAGTCAAAAGAAGCCGTTCCGGCCCAGATGCTGGGGATGGCTTTGCACGTTTGTCAGGTACTCAGCCACACGTCTTCAGAGGTGGCCTGCAGTGGCGTGGTCCAAGCACTTACAGGATGTACTGCATGCAGCAAGATGAGGTAAGGCATCAGTTGCGTGTCAGATTGCCAACTGTGCGACATATTTTTTGTGAATTGTATGCAGTTCACCTCTTGGTGCCATTGTCATAAGCTTCGTGACATTTAGAGTCGAGCATTATTTGACAGAATGCATGTGTCTTACAAACTGTGTTTTAGAACTATCTCATTAGCAACAAGTAATAGCCAACCTTGAATATTTGCAGAACATCGAATGTTGGGGTTAAAAGGGTTAAAAGGCAAGCTTGATCATCATCTTTGTTCGTTTATGGCCTCATTTCACTGTAACAAAGTTTGTAGGGGGAGAGAACTAACGACCAATGCCTAGCACGATTGCTAAAACTTTTGCTTAGCTGTGTACGCGTGTGCATTCTTGTGTGTGTGTGCTTGCACTAAAATTATGTTTTATACCCACCTAATTACACACACACTAACAGTAACTTGCACCATTTGCGCAGTCCTTTTGTCCTGCAACAATAATCACCTGGCTTGCTTGCATTCGATTTCTTGGAAAACTTACAGCTCAGCACTTTCAAGAATATTTCGCGCTAATAGCGCGTAGGTCACTCATTGTTTAAAAGTATGCAATGCGTACAGCAGTAACCTTAGGTAAAGCACACGAGATAGATTACTTGTTTTGGGACAGAAAGATGCACCAAGTATGCCCTATTTCATCAAAGTGTAATACAGGCATAGAGCACAGCTGAGCTGAAGCTTGCAGTTCTCATCTTGGTTACAGCAGCTATGTTTGCAGCAGCTACAGAGCAATGCGCAAAGATGCTTTGCTCAGATATATTTAGGTTCACGTGAAAGAAGCCCAATAGATCACAATGATTGTAGTGTAATCCACTACGATGTGTTGTGCAGTCTGTGTGTCTCACAATGGGAGGTTGTGAACCAGAGAGCACCATTGAACAATGTTTTGAGGATGCTTCCGTTAAACTTGTGAAGCCACCCCTTGGAGGCACTTTGAGCCAGATTATACTGGTATGACCTTGAGTGGCACTTGTCAGGGGAAAGTACATCCAGGGTGCACTCATGTTGTGAGATGTTGGGAAGATAATGCACAGTGCGGTATGGAGCTCAGACAGTTTGTATTAACACTGTGCCATGAACCAATGCTGCCACTCACAGCTCAGTTGCAGTGTTACACCGAGATGGTAAGGCTGACATGCTTTGTTTAAACTGTCTGATCAGTTTGTTTATCTATTAAAGAAATGCTATAGTCGTACAGCTTGAAGGGTCCCTGCAACACATTTTCAGCATTGTCATGAAGTGCTGCCAATAGTAGTCGAGACCTCCGAGCATGCAGCCCGGAATTTACCAGTAATTCCCCAAGTCAGGTAGAAATCATACTACTCGTATACTACTGCCATACTACTTGCTTTGCATGTAGTATGGCACCTTGCGGCTGATTTCAGTTTTACTCACTTGCATTGTTAACCCAGTTGTAAAATTATTTACATGAAAATGTGAGTGGGAGAAACATTCCGACAGTTCAGTGTACATTTTAGTGCCATATTACTGGTATATTTTGCTTGGAGAACTAAACAGCACGTTTGCAGCTGCACACTGACTCACTACGTCATGGGACGCCACGTTTACTTCGTAAAACGGGCGTGTTGAATAGGTGATGTGGTCTAAGAAATGGAAGAAAAAAAAAAGGCATTTTTTTCAAAAGTGAACAATAACTGCATTTTATGGACAACTTTCCGCAACTGTTCGAGTTTCATATTGAATAGATCAGCAATTATTTCGGCAAGCCAAAATGATAAAATTGTCAGTTATTACAAGTACTATTTATTGGCGTGGTAGCAGACATGCACTTTGGTTTTATTCTATAGTGCCATCAAGAAAAGTCGTTGCCAAGTGCGGCTGCCACGAATGGAAGGAGAATGCACTCAACGAATTCCTGTAACCCTGGCCGTACTAGATGTAATAAGAACTAAGTTTAAGTTTCTCACATGGTAGCGCAAGCTAACTGCATTTGCGTAGCTAACTGCATTTGCGTATGCTGTTTGCAGTGACCTGTCACTTTTAGTTAAGTAAACTATATACCAGTAAAGCTAGCATTCCAGTTATGAAAAGGATTCTTCGGTATACCTGCTTGCAGGGTGGTGACAAAGATCGGCAGGTCCTGGACATGTTCTGCTACCAGGAGGAAGACACTGCAGAAGTGGTGTTCCGACCGAAGTTCTTGACCCCCACCTCACAGCCGGCTACACCGACGCGCCCTAAACGGTCGCAACGGCAGCTCAGCCGTTGGGCGCCCCGTTCTGCTTCCACGCCCTCCTCGGAGATGGCGCTGACAACAGCTCCCAACATGCCCTTGCTGTCCAAGCGGTGGCCATATTCGGTTCCACCAAAGGTGGGCCTGGTGGACTCGCATTGCCACCTGGACTTCATATTCAGCCGAGTGGGTCACACCGGAACTTACGCCAAGTTCCGCCTCAAGCACAGGGACACCTTCCCAGACTGTTATGAGGGTTGCGTGGCCAACTTCTGCAACCCACAAACCTTCAAACTGGTATGTTTACTGTAAAACTTGTAGTTTTACCACTTTCCTATCTATGCGACAATGCTACGAAAAAAACTGGTATGTTTACTGTAAAACTTGTAGTTTTACCACTTTCCTATCTATGCGACAATGCTACAAAAAGACTACGATGGTGAACTTGACTAGGAATGGTCTCCATTAGCCCATTCCTTATAGCTTGATTCAGTCCTCTAACAAACTGATGATATTTCAGCAAAACATGGGAAAGGAAGGTAAATAATGATACCATTTGTTCACCTATGCCAGCATGCTACATAGGAAGCTTTGGCGATTCAATTAGCCCAACTTTGAACACTCTTTGATGACATACGCCAGCTTTCTTTATATGGCTAAATTTCCTCAGCTTACTATGTTTATGGTCAGCTCTGTTATACCTTATGGCTGAAGAGTTGTAATTTCACGTACCAGTCGCACCTAATTATTAGAGAAGGTTTATTATATTGCTTTTCTATGCATCTTGTGTCACTGTACTGTGGATTTAGATGAATGTGCCTTGCAGATTCTTAGTAATTTACAGTGATTGATGTCACTGTAGGGGAGGGTCTCATTAAACGAAACCTGATGGAGCCAGGAAAGTCAGTTGTGCTTAATGAACGTGCCATTACTAAGAGGTGAATAGAGATGCAGAAGTTTGGAACCAATCGCATTAAGGGTGGTTGTTTCAGTTAAGCATTGATTCTAATTAAGTAATTTATGGTTACCGAGAGTCTTCTGTACTTGAATGAATGCACATAGCTTCTTTAGTGCATGTTTTAATTTGTGCCATTTTCAAAGACTCAAGCATTTTCTTTGAGCTGATGAGGTTTTTTCATGGCCCAACATGTCTTCGTTTACAGCCAGTGAAACAGAAAGCCCTTGGTGACTTTGACATAGGCCCGTTTACTTCTGTCTATTCACGACAGAGGGATGTCTCAAATGCACTTACCGTAATATTCCAAGTGACCGCCCCCCCTACGACAACTCGAAATTACCAGCACAGTGAAGGGGAGGCAGCTTTTTTAGAGTGGCACCAAATTCATTATGGGAGCGGCAAGATAGAAACAAAAACACAGTGCACATAACGCATTTCCAGAAGGCCTCTGACTCTCGTTCATGGCATAGCGCATGGCAGTGACTCATAAACACAAAGGCTATACTATCAGACCCCAGGAAACACGGCTTGGAAGTGCCTTTTTTGATGAGCCCACACCAACGCAGCAGCTCTGGGCAACAGATACATGTTTTGTAGACTTTACTTTTGCTAACTGGTGTGTCTAGGGTGCCATCACAGCATTGCAAATAGAGATCTTCTAGGCCCTGTTTTTTCTCGCGACAACCTGAAAATTATCGAGAGTGTCATGCGCCCAGTTTGGGATGCAATTGTTATGCGAGAGAGCAAAGAAATCCAACTTACACGATTCGTATAATTATGAGTATGATCGCTCACATCTAGCAAGCTTACTGGCAGTTATAGAGAGCTGTCTTTGACGATGCTGTGATCCTGAGAAACGGGAAACAAAAGCACTCCACTTTTCATTCGTCACGTCCCCCTTACACCATTCCAAAACCCTTGGGGCAGGTGTACATGTGTGAATTACTACACAAGATTGTATCTTGCCCAGAGTCATATACGAGGGCTTCTGATAAGTGAAACAAAGTACTAGAACTCCCTCGAGTCTCAATTGTCGTGATCCTAATGTGCATGCATGGCAGCCTCGTTGAGAAAGCTGAACGCAATCAGGGTGCAGCGACTGAGTCACATGTGTGCTAGAAGATTTCGCGATGCTCGGCTTGAACTGCAGCCCTCGATTTGGAGTCACGTTAGTACGTGAAACGGGAGGATCGGTTATATCGCGACACTTCATGTCCGTGCATTTTGCCTGGAAAGGTATGCATGTGCAGTGTCCTGTTCCAGGCTCTTGAATTCGAACTTTTCGTAATGCAGCGCCACATGTGGGGAAGCCTGCTGGCAGAAGATGGTGTTTGGGGTGCATTTGGATGCCATCCGCACATGGCCAGCGAGTACAACAACGACATTGAAGATGACCTCGTCTATGCCCTTGACCATCCCAGTGTGGTAGCCCTCGGAGAGATCGGCCTCGATTACTCGTACAAGTGAGTGCAGGAGTTGTGCTCATATTCCCGGTAGAGTCGTTTTCACTTCATGACATTTGTGCCTCATAGTTAGCTTAGTCACTGCTTTGGTGCTGTGCTTTCGAGGGGAAGCTGTGGTGCAGTCCGGTGAAATCGAGGTCACGCGGGGTTCTTAGGAGGGAAGCGTTTTTCGTTTTAAGGCTTGGCGCTACCGTAGGCAGTCGGCTCTCGAGGGGGCTTCGTGACACCACGGCTCGTTCCTATAGAATCCAGTTGTGAGTCGAATGTTGGTGATGCCGCATTCACATTACATTGCTGCATGTTATGTTCTTTGCTGTGAAAGAAAATCTGTGAACAGGAGTTGCGTGCTCGAGCTGATGTTTCGGCAAGTGGACAAGGCTGGAACTGATTTTCTTGGTGCTTCTGTGTATATGCCTCGTACCATCTTCGTCCTTATGTGTACACTCAAAGCTCATTATAACAAGGTTGCATTTTACAAGAAAACAAGTTTGTTATATTGAAAAATTTGTTATATAAGTTATTCTGAACACTGTATCTACTGCAAAACTGTTTTTTTATTTACTTCGTTACAACCAATATTTTGTTATTTCCGTGTTTGTTATGTCGAGGTTTGAGTTTATATGTTTCAACTCGAAAAACATAGGCTCGAGCGCACAACTCCTATTTGCAATTTTTTTTTCATCACGTTTCCATTTTCGCCTTACTATGCAATTTTCATGATCTTGTTGGCATTCTGTGTAATTATTCCAAATACTTGTCATGTTAATGCAGTTTCTAAGATTTGGCTGGCAGGCTCATTGTTACGTAGCGACAGTGCATACCGTACCCTGTTTGCTCCATGAGCACGGCGCTTTGACTGTGCAGTGCGTATGCGTTTTGTGGCGTGCGGATGATTAGGGAAGTTGTTTGTGGATGTGTCCTTGCTGATATTGAAAGAGAGCACAAAAAAACTATTATTGAGTGTTCACCCGTGCCACCTGTCGTAGTGGCATGCACCTAGCGCTGAAATTTTTATTGACGTGTTGTTGCCATTGCGAGTCGTGGCCCTAAAAACGGAAGGTTAGTGCAATTGCCATTAGACGCATGGTTGAGTGCACAATAAGATAACGTCAGTGGAAGGTAGGTGGGAAAAAAATAAAAGTAAAAATCACTGGCGATTATGATACTCCCCTATGTAAAATGTCCATGCAGATGTTTGTGTTCTCTCATTTGGGAATATGTCGAGGCAAAGAACTTGAGAGGAACGTGCGTACATACAGTTGGGGAGTTCTCTTCATTCTTCAATTGTTTTTCCAAGTTCTATTCTAATTCTTTTCGTTTGATTGTTTTAATACAATTCTTGTTATTTTTAGAATTCTTTTTAAATAAAAAATTTACTGGTTCGGCAGTGTAAACTGTAGTTGGACACCACCTAATTTCACTATTACCATTTTTTCAAGCCTGTTTCTAACTGTAATTTGAGAACTCGTCTCCTTTACGTCCCTGTTTGTTAGTGCTCAATATGTTTTTGACTTTATTTATTGTTTATGTTGTTTTCATTTATTAAATAATTCATTTATTTATTGTGCCTGTTTTTATGGCAAATGTTCCGGATGTCCAGCAAGCCTTCTCTTATTTATTGTGCGTGCATTTAATGGGTTTATCTTTTTGTATTTCAACGGCAAAGGCTTGAGATTAATCAAGCCAGAATTGGCAGAACAAGCAGAGTATTGCGTAGCACAAAACACTCTAGCCAGGAGATCTTGTCTGCACCCTTTTGTTTGGGTTAGATTGGAAGAAGGTAGACGCCACTCAACTAGGGAACAAAAGCCTAAGAGCTGTGCTCCAAGAATATTTGCATTTGCGCCGGGAAACATTTACAATGGCCTCTTCATGCTAGCAGACAGTCATTGCTGAATGATATTTTCGACCACTTGTGCATTGAGATATTTGTGGACATGGGAAGAGTTCAGGAATAGCAGCAGTACTAAATCGGGAAACGTTCAATTTAATGGCAACAGTGAGAGGCAGCAATGAAAGAGTTGTCATGTTTAACACAGCATTGTTTTAACAATGTTAGGCTTGAAGCAGGCTAAAAGCCGGCCACTGCTTGTTCGAACTTTTCCACCATAGTGCCTGCTTGAGCATGCTTTCTTTTTCTTCGTAGGTCAATTTGATGAAGCAAATGTTGCTATAGTAGATTATGTTATGCCACATTTATAGGGCCATAAAATGCCATAAACAATACTTATTTTTATCAGAATAGAAAGTTTTCAAGTCGATTTAATGTCGGAAATTGGTTGCTAATGGTGCCGAGGAGTGTCGATGGCACGGTGATGGATCGCTGTTCCACAAAACTTATCAATCAAAGGCTAAAAAGCCGCAGTTAACAATCGCCATTCAGCTAAGTAGGATCTGGTCACAGTGGCAGCTAACAAAGATGCTGCAGAACAGATGACAAAGTGTTATCAACCTTTTTCTTTATGTATCTGCGTTGTGGTGGCACGTCGAATACAGATTGGTGTGCTTTGATGGCCGAGCTGGCCGAACTCGCTGTTAGTGAAAACGTGCTGCTGGCGATGCCTGATGGCACGCCGCTTCGTCGCAGCTGCTACAGATGTGTTTATACTATGGTGCTTTCACATGAGATGTTTCACATCTGTGTGAATGAGGCCTTATAGGGCGAAGCCTCCAGCAGCACAAACGGTATCTCTTGCTCATTCAAGCAAAATCCCATCCACAAGCTACCACCTGCAAAACCAGTGTAAGGCCTGAATGATGCCCCATTTTTGCAGGAACCAGTGTGACCACAATGTACAGAAGGCTGTATTCCGGAAACAGCTGAAGCTTGCCTTGAATCGTAAGCTTCCCCTGGTGATCCACTCCCGGGACTCGACTCAAGACACCATCGACATCCTCAAGGAGGTGGGCTTCCTGCAATCTCCGAACAATTTCTTTTTTTTTAGTATGATTGCCTTTTTTTTTTTTTCAAATTGTACCTTTATGATCTATCCCCTCTCAATTTATTTCTATTGACTTCAACCCGTCATACCTCCCGGTGGTACAGGTCTGCCCTTCTTTCTCTTACTTTCTTTTGCTCACTGGGGGACAAAACTAGCCGTCTTTAGTGCTTTTTGTGTCAAGTCTGGCCCATCTACATATTTTTCTTCCATGTATGCCAGTTAGTAAACAATTGAAAACTGCATGAACTAAAAAAAAAGACTACAGAAAAGAAGGCACAAAACAACTATTGCTCTCTATTGGTTTTGTGCCTTCTTTCATGTTGTATGGTCCTTTTCTTCATTTCGTGCAGTATAGGGTCACTTAGTAGAATGTACCAACTGTCCCCTCGAGATGCTCTAATTATGCAAATTACAAGTCTTGCCGATATAAGAATTTCCCTTTGCTCGCAAGCAAGCGGTGATCGTCTTATCATAAACTGGCTCATCAGAAACCGTGAACAAGGGTTGGCTCGAGGTGACGTTACGACACACTGACTTGTCTTCCTTAAGGCTAGAACAGAACTGATTTCTTCATTGCTAGTGTGTCTTTGCTTCGTGCCCTTTCCTCCGTCCTAACAAAGGAGGGAGAGGGGCAATACCTGACACGCCCCTTTTTTGTTAGGATGGAGGAGAGGGTAGGAAGCGTAGACATGCTAGCGCTGAAGAAGTCAGTTCTGTTCTAGCCTTGAGGAAGACAAGTCTGTATGTCGTAACATTAGCTCGACCCAACCGCCGTGGTGGTCTAGTGGCTAAGGTACTTGACCGCTGACCCGCAGGTCGCGGGATCGAATCCCAGCTGCGGCGACTGCATTTCCGATGGAGGCGAAAATATTGTAGGCCCTTGTGCTCAGATTTGGGTGCACGTTAAAGAACCCTAGGTGGTCGAAATCTCCGGAGCCCTCCACTAGGGCGTCTCTCATAATCATATTGCCACCTAGAGTTGTGAGCCGGCAAGCCCTAGCCAGCCGAAAAGGGAAAAGAGAACGAAGAAGAAGTGTGTGTTAGCGCTTCGTTTGAAGATGCACGCTCGTGTCTTTCTGCCCCACTGTTCCTGTCTTGTCTCTACGGCTCTTGGTGCGTGACAAACTGGTGGACTTGCTGGGTAATCTATGGATCGTACCCCTCGACATAGCAGAAACTCAAGTGTCGTACCGGTGGTCACTCCTGTGCACTGCGCCAGCAGAAGAATCCGAGGGCAATCTACTGAGTTTGGACTGCTCGCAAACAACATGGCAGCTCCAACCAGCCCTACCGACACCAACCCCATCGGTACGGACGGCACAGCGCCGCTCCATTGCACCTTACTCACACCGCAAACACCAAATCCCTTTCATGGCACTGCACTTGAGGATGTCGAAGATTGGCTTGTTCATTACGAAGTACTGTCATTGCCTATGCCTACCCAGTAACCGATGTGACTGAGTCTGCTTCCGAGGCAACCGATAATGCCGAAGCACCTCTCCAATGCATCGACATAAATCCAACGCTTTCTGACGAAAACAAACGAAGGCTTAACAACCTGTTGATAGAATTCCACGCTTGTTCTGCACGTTCATCGAGAATCCATCAGGCATCGATTACCAAACACCGTATTATTACCTACGGGCGACGCGCACCCTATACAGCAACAGCCTTGCCGCGTTTCACCAACCGAATGACGTGCGATTCAAAAGCAAGTGAAGGAAATGCTTAAAAACAGTGTAATACAGCCATCAAGCAGCCCATGGTCATCGCCAGTGGTCCTTGTAAATAAGAAGGATGGTACACTTCACTTTTGTGTCGATTATAGGAAGCTGAATAACGTCACAAAGAAAGACGTGTACCCGTTGCCTCGAGTGGACGATTCCCTTGACAGGCTTAGGCGAGCAAAGTACTTTTCCTCAATCGACCTCAAAAGTAGTTATTGGCAAATTGAAGTCGATGGACGTGACCGCGAAAAAACAGCTTTTGTAACTCCTGACCGCCTGTGTGAATTCCGAGTGCTCCCATTAGGCCTCTGTTTCGCTCCGGCCACATTCCAACGAATGATGGATACCATTCTCGCTGACCTCAAATTTAAAAGTTGCCTCGTCTATCTAGATGATGTCGTTGTCTTTTAAGAAACGTTTGATGAGCACCTTCGTCGCCTTCGGAGTGTTCTTGAAGCTATACGATCCGCTGACCTTATTCTCAAGCCTGAGAAGTGTCATTTTGGCTACAAAGAACTGAAGTTCCTGGGTCACGTTGTGAGCACTGCAGGCGTTCGGCCTGATCCCGAGAAGACTGCCGCTGTGGCCGCTTTTCCAGCTCCGACAGACAAGAAAAGTCTTCGACGATTCCTCGGGCTCTGCTCATACTATCGCCGCTTTATTGAAAACTTCTCTAAGATTGCGGAGCCTCTCATCAGACTTACGCGTGATGACACCACATTTCTGTGGACTGACGAACAAGCGACGGCCTTTGCAGAACTGCAACATCGATTGTCTTCCCCTCCTGTACTTGGTCATTTCGATGAGGACGCTGACACAGAGCTGCGCAGTGACGCAAGCAACATTGGTCTCGGAGCTATCTTGGTGCAAACACAAGATGGGACCGAATGTGTGATTGCCTATGCGAGCTGCACTCTATCACATGCCGAGACCAACTATTCAAGGTCAGAGAAGGAATGTCTCGCGATAACATGGGCGATTACAAAGTTCAAGCCTTATCTCTATGGCCGCCCATTTAAAGTTGTGACTGATCACCACGCTTTATGTTGGTTGGCTAACCTCCGAGACCCCTCTGGGGGATTAGCACGATGGAGTGTGCGACTTCAGGAGTTTGATGTAACCGTCGTATACAAGTTGGGTAGATGGCATGAAGACACTGACTCACTATCACAAGCACCTCTATAATCCGACCATACAGCTGTAGAAGACGACAGTGCCTTCTTGGGAACTCTCAGTGGGGCGGACCTCCTCTGTAAGCAACGAGCGGACCACGAGTTAAGGCCCATCATCGATCATTTAGAAGGCAGCACTGCGTCTGTTCCTCGTTCACTTTCTGTAACTTTGACGTTGCCGTCATTTTGCTTACGACACGGCATATTATACAAGAAAAACACTGGTGTTGGCCGCAGATCTTATCTTCTAGTCGTTCCTCAAGACCTTGGTGATGACATCCTATTAGCCTGCCACAATGAGCTGACATACGGCCATCTGGGATACTCACGGACGCTCGACCGGGTACGACAGCTATATTTCTGGCCAAAACTCGCAGCTTGCGTTAAACGCTACGTGAAAGGATGCCGCGAATGTCAGCGTCGCAAGTCACCACCTGTAAAGCCTGCAGGCCTCTTACAACCCATTGACCCACCACGTACGCCATTTGACCAAGTTGGAATTGACCTCCTTGGTTCCCTTCCTTTGTCTCACTCTGGAAACAAGTGGATCATCATCGCGACTGATTACTTGACGCCTTACTCTGAAACGAAGCCACCGCCACACAGTACAGCATCTGAAGTCGTACTTCGTCAGTCATTCATCATCACTGACTGAGAGACAGCGTTTACGGCAAAACTGCTGGACGACATCTTCAAACTCAGTTACATGAACCACCGTAAGACAACCGCATACCACCCCGAGAGTAACAGCTTGACAGAAAGGCTAAACAAAACGCTGGCGGACATGATTTCTATGAATGTGGATGTGCAGCATAAAATGTGGGACGAGATCCTGCCGTACGTAACGTTTGCGTACAACACCGCAACCCAGGAAACGACAAGGTTCGTACCCTTCCACCTCGTTTACGGTCGAGATGTGCAAACCATGCTATACACCATGATTCCTTGTGACATCGACCAGCATGAGCTGCTAACTCCTGATGTCGAGGATTACATTCAGCGTGCAGAGGAAGCACGTCAACTAGCTTACGTACACATAAGATCGCAGCAATGTGAAGACGCCCGAAGGTAAATTATCTGCCATCGACAAGTCACCTATCAACCTGGCGACCAAGTGTGGGTTCGGACTCCTGTTAGACGGCGAGGTCTCAGCGAGAAACTCCTGAGCAAGTGCTTCAGACCTTACAAAGTATTACGGCGATTGAACGAGGTCAACTATGAAGTTATTTCAGACGGAGGCTCGGCAACGACCCAGTGCCACTCACCACGAACAGAGATTGTGCATGTCGTCCGCCTGAAACCTTATTTTACGCAGTGTTGCGACCGGGGTTTGCAGGCACCGGAGGTCCAGGATAAAGTTGTCGAGGCAGGAGGAAGAGAGACATGAAGAGGGTTTATTTACATTATGTACATAGTGAGCTCTCGTACATGACGAGCTCTTTCTTACATAACGAGCTTTCGAATCTGCCGTTCCTCTACATGGCGCTCCTTTGAATGAGCCGGGTGGCTCATTATAAAGTGTATGTTCTCCCCAAATCCCTAAATCAGGGAACACATGCAGAGGTTACCGTCCAATCACAGATCACACAACTGGCGAGAGGGACGAGCATGCACGGCCCACGTGAACGTCCAATATTGAGCCGTGATCACTGCAATCCAAGGTGGCGCCAGCGGGGCTCTTCCTCGTTGTGTGTGTGCCGCTGGTCGAGGGGTCCCAAACTCCTGACAGCATACATCAAAGGGTCCGCCGAACCGCTCGCCTGATTAGCGGACCGATTTGCAGCGGCCGCGGCGGTCGCTTCCAAGGAAGATGCTGTAGTTGTCCTCTCTCGAACGGCTTACGGCCTCGTGGTGACACGACGTCTCACCCACCGGCTAGGAGGGACGATGCCTGGCGGTCATAGGCAGCCGGTGGGTCGGCTACTTGTTTGAAGATCCAAAGAGCGCCGCTCCCTCGTCAGCTCAAGTGCCAGTCACAACAGCTCGTCCGCCGGCGGGAGATTCGACCTTAGGGTGACCATCTGCACAGGTTGCCCGAAGTGTCGTATTGTGGTGCTGTCTTC